CATACACGGGGATGTATTCAAATATCTGAGTAAAGCTTCTTTTCCTCGTCTTGTGCAAACCAAGATTAGAAAAGTCCTTATAATTATATCTACATCTATCATGAATAATTAACGCAAGTAACCCTCAACGCCGCACTGACACCTCGCGACTAATGGGGGACTATTCTCAACACCTATCAGTAGTGTCCCCTACGAACCTCCAGCTCTCACTGTAGAGTCTTCAGATTCTGTAGAGTCGAAATTGAGTAAAAAATTCCTCACTTCAACGAGACTTCCCAATCGCTTTCGCGGTCTGTATCGTCTTCATCTCTCAATACATTCCCCCATCACCACTATCATGAAGCTAACCACGATCAGATCAGATTGTAGGGTCGGAGCCTTTCTCATCACCAACACTTGATCATGGAGGAGAAGCCATCCGATGAGTTTCTGAAGCGTACCCAGCACCCGATACGGAGATGGCGGATTGGATCAAGTCGACCTCAACTGTTACAAAGAAGGGAGATTTAGATGAATTTGCGCACCTCATGTGGTCCCGGTGTCTAGGCCTCGCTTGGTTGGCGCTGAAAGGTTTTTGAGACCTTTTCCCGCGCACGCAGTTTCCTTTGCTACCATCTTTATTTTTTTTGGGTAGAAGGTACCGTGGAAGAGGTGGCTGAATTCTACGGACAAACACTGAGCTGAATGGCTGTTCATCACGGGCAGTATATCAATGATCTTTCAAGAAACATGGGAGGCAAGAAGCACTGTACAAGGTGTGGCCTGGGTCAGAGAAGAGCCCAGTGTGCTAGATATTCTTTGACTCAAGTAGTACAATAAACAAATACACATCTCGCGACTAATATCCGTAAATTTCTCCCAAAGCCACTCCACCAACGTCAATATCACTCCGAGTAGCTTAATTTAGACTGGGCTAACCGGTACGTCGGAGGGCAAGACTGAACACCTGTCAGTGGTGCTCTCTACGAAACTGGGAGTGAAATATTCTCCCAGAGCCAAGTTCAGTCAAATTTCGCAATATCAAAGAAGTTGGCCCACGAGGCAAAAATTCAAATTACTACACCATGTCAATCTTTCACTCCCAAAGAGTCCGATTCTCAACTAAGCTTCATCAAGTCTACAAGTACGACCTAGTACATCCTCGTTTCAATGACCACACCTCTCGTCGACTTTCTCTGGCCTCAGCCGGTCACCAAATACACGCCCACGCCGATATTTACACCCGACGGAGGAAGCAAAGCGTGGAGCACAATTTTGGGAGATAGCTCTTTGGGACGGACGTGAGAGGGATCAGGACAAGTTTACAAGATGATGCAGAAGAGGGATACATTCTCGACAGGCGTGAAATTTTGAATTTTGGCAAGAGTTTTACGAATCGAGCTTTGTGCGCGCCAAGACTTCACTTGCGAGAGTGCAGCTGACACTATAAACACAAGCAAAAGATTGAAGGTGTTGTGGTCCGCCTCCTGGCGGTGTTCACCGGTCTAGTTTGAGTTGCCTGGGCACCTACTCCACTTGGGAAGGAGACACCTCAGATCACGTTTCCCGCGGAGAAAAGTTGATGGATGATGGAGGTATGTCTGGATAACTCAGGGTTTTTGAGACGTTCCCCTGGGTGGGTATTCACGGATGAGGGTTGACATGGGGTGAAGAAAAAGCCACCATAACTTCGCAGTGGTACTTGCAAATAAAATCCGAGGCATGAGTGCTCCTATTGTAAATTGAGTCATCTTTTTTGTACTTTTCTCTGATATTGTGTCATAGCTAGATAGCTGCATACGCAATTAAAATCTGATGCAAAAAAAAAATACAAGTCTCACCAGTGCCGCTGGCCTCGCTCATTGAGGATTGAAAAAGTACGATATGATAGCTCTGATTATTTTCCTCCTTTCCCTGAACGCAATTATATGGATCCTTGACGTCATTATTGAGACTTGGGCCTGGCTTGCCTATATTAATGACTGTCAAGACTGTCCAAATTGCTACCTGCACAGGAGCTAGGGGACTATCCGTATTCTAATGGTCGGGTTAATACCATCTGATCATTACCTTCTGTTAGGTTATGCGCTTTAATTCGCTAATTAAGTATGTGTGTTTGCTTTAATATGAAGGGGGATTGATGTGGAATCGCCTGGAACTGGGGTAATCGACACTTGTAAAATCAGCTAAGTTTTCTGATTGTAACGGGTGTTTTTTTTGAGCTTTTGATTTGAAGTAAAATTTGAGAATCAAATGGTGTTACATAACGCACTTGTTCTTCACGCCATGACGGTCCTCACTGTCCATGAGAAAAATCGAAAGTTGTCATGGTTGAATGAATTAAATATGGTCAGTTTCTCTCATGTAGATTCTACAAGCCCTCCATAGTCATAGACCGAGAATGGACTATAATAAAGTCTAATCTAATCCACACGAGGCTTGGGACCAGCCACATGAGTTACACTTGGAGGCACTGCCGCTCAAACGCGAGCCGACTAGCGTATCTAGTCTGTCTAAAACGTCAGTGACTCGAGTCGTAACAGCCACACATTTAATGCCTATATGGGAGGCTATGAAGAAGTATCTGATGCTTGGCGCACTGTGAGACATAGATAGGTATCGCTCAAGAGTATTATTCGGAATCTTCGTTTGGGGCATGATGCTGTAATGGGAGGAGAGTAATATTGAATGTTGGATTGTGCATGCACAGCCAAGGTCAAATTGATGCATAAATCAATTGGACCAGTAAACCTGGTAAAAATAGCTGGCCGAACCGAGTTAGTGGAATTATGTTATCCACCAACAGTCGCACCGTAGATAGTCATCAAACGAACATCTAGTCACGTCACCACACCTTGTTTGAACGCTCAACCTATCATAATATTCTCAAGAAAATAGGCAAAAAATTTAAAGAAAACACATTCACCCAGGCGTCCCCGCAATAGTATCTAATTAGCCGAGAGTGATCCGGAGCACCTCAAAGTCCCAGTCATCATCTTAATTATATGGAAATGCTCGTGATGTTAGAGGACTATCTAAGTACAGATACTCATGATATGAACACACCCGCTATGCGTCATGAAATTGAAGATGAACGACACGATACCTCCTTTGCAACGTGCGAGTAGAGAGGGTTCAAAGCAGGCCAGTAGAACTGGATTCATCTTTAGGGGAATTATTCAAGGGTAATTCTCCATGATTCAATTTTCGTTCAGCCAGGAATAGCAAGACCAGAGGCGGGATACTTCCAGGATGCTGAGTAGAAACTGACAGGTAGCCACATTGACCATGAATTGTCAAGGGAATTAGATGAGTTTGCCATTTAATGCAGGCTTCCGTGCCAAACTGATACGCCCATTCAATGCAGAGTAAGGCCGAGCTGCATGATCACGACTAGCAGTCACCGTTTGTTCGTAATTGTGTGTGTTTGTGTGCAATAATATTTGCTTCGTGCTTAAGGAGTAGTCAGGCCGCGCGCAAAAAGTGGCATGTACTCCATCACTCAGCCTATTCTCACTCGAGCGACTAGCTTTAATACATGGGGGATATTCAATGTCTCAGTGAACTAGACCGTTTGACATTGGACCATCCTCCGAGTTTGTGCACTCTTTCAACGAAATTCTCATATTAACGTTGTTCGGATGTCTGCTTGGCCGGCTTTGCGCGCATACATCCACATTGTCTTCTATCAGACTACTAACCTGACAAAACATCAGTACCAAGCCACTAGCAACTGCCATACATGATCCCCCCGAAGCTTAAATACCCGAAGCTACTAATAATAGATGATGAAATTGATTCGTCATACGAGGAACTGATCGAGGTAGCCTTCCTTTTAGATGCAAGAAGGGGTCGCCGAGCAGTTACTATCAGTGAAGCTCTATTGGTTAAATGCAAATGGTCGGATCTAGCTGAGCCTCAAAGCAGGCCAGACAGAATGGTGTTTGGCATGATAGTCAACATCTCTGCCGTCTCGCTCAAATCTCGCTGAATATATCCAGCAAGCTGTCGAGACTGATACGTATTCTGATAGCGTGAACACAGTATTAGATGGCTAGTATCCAAGCAGTTCGCATGTAAGAAAAAGACTCAATACTTCTGGGCCCACCTTGATAGCCTACGATTGAGATGAGATATATGGAAACATGGTGACTTTTAATAGGCCAACAATGCGTCACTCGCTCATGATGTCTGTATATTATTAAAAGAAGGGGATTTAGATTTAGCTTTGAGATTAATGCCAGTATAATTAATACCACAATCGATGCTGGGCTTATTTGTAAAATTATCAACGTGTCGTACACACTGGGCAATGCCAGTTTCTGTACTAAACTAGCAAGTGGCTGGACGATTCAAGTAAGATGGTGAGGCTAATTCTTCAAGGTAGGTTGATTAACAGCAATTTTAAGATACTTGCGTCCTAGAAGTGCGGGTCACTCGAAGTTTCTGGTGGCCGAACTACACACGACAGCAGTTCATCCGGCCGTGTGGGACAGGGCGGGGCCTCGGCAGCAGAGGCTGGCGTCTGTAGCTGCTGGGAGTGCTAACGTGACTCGCAGTCCTAGCTGCAAGGAGTCAGTTGGGGGGAAGGGAGTGTCAAGCAGTCGGTCACTGTTGCCAAGAAATGCTAATGATGTAGAGAGTGCTTGAACCAGTCCCATCAGGGGGAATTATCATTTTAAACTTCGTCCCATGTCACCCACTTCCCTGTCGATATTCTACACGATACCAGCCATCCCACACATAATGCCCTTTGACGAATCGGCTCGAATCAAATGAAGTGTAATGATCACATTCACCCCTGTCGCTGGAGTTGATATAAGTCTAAGAGAATGCACCCCAGAGGCCCATCATTGCCGAGCATAGTCATCTTCTTCCAGAGAAGCGATTAGCTTTCCATTCAAAGCACCTGAAAGCGGACATCTTAATTGAATTTGTTCGTGCACATATATTCGGCTTCATCTACAGCATCAGCAAGCAGCTTTCAATAAAGCCCTCACCTCTTATATAATTTATTCAACATGATGTTTGGTATTATATTCGCCTTTTGGCGTTTCCTTCAAATAATCACACTGGTAACTTCCCCCACAATCTTCAGTTAATTCTATTTGCGGTTGGCTAATTTCCCTTCGCCAGATCCCAACTATGGGCATGCTTGCTTCCTTTGTCAACTTGTATGCAAGTAACAACGCTCTAACCCCAACATACGTGCTCTGTTTATTCATTGTATCGGTTCTTGCGCTTGCCTGGGCTATTGCAACTCTTTTCACCTATCATCGTTCATCCGCAAACTCACGCTTCGTCGCAATAATCGATCTCTTCTTCCTTGGAGCTTTCATTGCTGCGGTGTACGCACTACGCGGTATTGCGAAGCAAAATTGCACATCAGTTACCACAAAATCATCCTACCAAATATCTCTTGGCGTTGTTGGAAAGGCTACCCTTAATCGACTCAACTTCAAGGCTAATCGACAGTGCTCAATGCTTAAGGCGTCGTTTGCGTTTGGTATAATGAATTGTATATTTTTCGCCATCACTAGCGTTCTGGCAGCTTTAATTGGTGAAACCAGCTCGGATGGTGACAACTACCCCAGAGAGACTCCGTCTCGGCGACACTCACGCCACCGATCTCAACACCGTCGAAGTTCTAGGAGGTCAGAGTACGTCTAGAAACAGATATTTAGCATGGTATGGGAGAATATGGTAGTAGGTTGAGTTAACGAAGTCTTTGAGTGTTAGGGTAGTTACAGGCGAAATGGATATGAGATAGACGTATTTGATGACAATCGTGGTACAGGCGGATGGGAATGTATACCTTGTGATAATTTATGGGCATTAGATTAGCGCGCGGCACGTGGCTAGCCTCCGGATAATTTCGGGATGAACTTAATAAACATGCACTTTAAATATCCACAATTCCCAGATCGTCGGAAGCCCCAGAAGTAGCTACTCCCCACTGTTGATGGAGATCGGACGCAGGGAAATGAAATTATGAGTTATTTCAATTGATCTTCACAGGGATGCGGAGGTCCAACACATCAGTGGTATTCTTTGCAGACTTTTGGTGTTTACTGTATAGTGTGCAAAGAAAAATTGTGAGTCCAACACCAGCTAGGAGAGCTTCTGATTTTGATGGGCCTACTGCATTCTCCGCAACCTAAAATGATGTAAAAATGTTGTGTTAGTCTACCCAACAGCTCATACACTTTGGTGGAATCTGAGATGAGAGCCGAGTAAGCAGTGAGCTTTGGACTGAGCAGTCGGCCTCGTATGCTTTCAATGTTCGTATTATCGTAGTAGATATGTAACGAGCAGAATTATATCAGCAAGATAGTGAGACCAGCCGCCACTCGTAGATTTCCTACAGAGGCTGCAGCTGGACAAGCAGCTAATTGACCAGAAAGAACAGAATTATTGCGAGCTATGCAAAGGAAATGCTTGAAGCTAGTCAAAAGCGCATACAACAATTGTAGCAGTAGTGTGCTGGTGTAAGAGGGTCAAAGAATTCAGAAGTACTTGAAAGTCGATAACTCAGTGGTAATTGATAATTTTTCCGTGAATAGTTTGCCTACCGCGTCGTCTCCAGTCCTTTATGTCCTCTGCCAAGACTGTTATTAACTCTCTCCCCTGGCCGTTCGAGAAAATCATCCTTTCTCCCCGGCTCCCTTTTCTCCTGCACCATACTCCCCATCTAGTAGGTGCCCCCTTCGATGCATCCTTATGCGCGCCCTTCGCGTTTCCGGAAGCGCTGCTCTGTTGCAGCTCAAGTCCCAAAACGGAGTGGTCCTATTGGGCAGTCCCAATCCAGGCAAAGCCCATCACAACTAGAACATCATGCTCGCTCCTCCCAATACAATCTACCCCCGGAGGACGAGGGCTGAACACCCGTCAATGGAATGCACTGCGAAGTTAGGAGTGAGATTTTCCACCGGAGCCAAGATTTAGTCATGCCCAACGGTCGAATCTATTAAAATGTGTAACCCGCTACTTAGTTCGTGGACTTGTCAGTAGAGGGAAGCTTATGCACTAATGAAGGATAAAAGAATGTCAATTCGACTACTCCACTAAACACAGGTACCAGACTCCTTTTAATCCCAATAGATAGCCCGTGCGGGATCTCCTATTAACAGCAGTAAACAATGCTAGCACAGGGTATGCGCAATCTCCGTTCGCCAAACACCAGTCGGTCGGGACTACTAATTATCGAGCCTAGTAGGATCGACAAAGTGTATCGCAACACAGAAATAATAAAAAACTCAACAACCAAACCCTCCATCAATTACTTCCATTAAGCATCGCCTGACTAACCTCTGTACTCCATACCTTCAACAGAATCGACATTTTTCTGACTGAGATTCTCGTCAGAAGGCGCGTTGCCAGGCTGGTATTGGTCGGCATTGTCGGATTGCAGGGGTTTCTCCACTACAAAAATCACGATGAAACCTGTCAACACTATTCAAGCCGATACAAGTTCAAGCTGAATATTGCACTCCATCTTGATACGCCAAACAAGTTCGAAGTGCCTATTTAATGCCGCAAAAGGCCGCAACACGATCCGCGACCATCTCTTTCAACACTGCTGTCGATGGGGGATGATTAGAGGACGCCGAACTTAGGTGACTGAGTATGGATGTTCTATGAAGAAATCAAAGCCCGCGATTAAAAATGGGAGAGATGCTGGCCCGTGGAAGCTTCGGATGTAGTTGAAATGGAGCTCTCAATATTGGGAGGCTGTCACCTAGGAGTTTGGCACAGACAATCGGTCCTTCATACTCCTTACAGCGTTCTGATGCGCTAACCAGTGGTTTGCTTTCATTTTAAATTTGCCGGGCTCTTTTGGGGCGCTGGCTTCTCGGGTCGTCTTTATAGGCTGAGCTAAAAGGCACTCGGCCCTATAGTCTAGTGTTGTGCGTCGGCACAACGTTAAGTAAAAAAAATATAGGCTTTGCGATGAGTAGATACCACCTACTTTTATGCAAATTGATTGCTATACTCTAAGCGATTCACTGCTCTAGAGCTTAAAAAATACAAAAATGTGACTGGTGCATCAGCAAGACTTTCTCACCTAGCACGGGAACTCTCGCCGAGGAAGAACAGTGTGTGCCTTGAATGATTCGAAAATCTAAGCGACCACCTACGGTCTATGGCAATCTGGGCAATGGGGGTTTCCGAGAAAACCAGGCTACTGGAGGTTTGTGGAAGAAGAGAAAGGACTAGCGTGCGTGATAAAGACTGGAAGCAAAGTTCTTCATAAGTCTAGCAATCTATAAGCCGTCTGATAGCCCTTGATGGCTTGAGGTCTTCCTGGCTATATTCTCAAATATTTTGCTGCTACTCAGACAGAAGATCCGGCACCAACAACCCTCAAGGCTTGCTTTCGGCCTACCTCTTTTCTGACCCTTCGGTTGTAACGTATCCCCTCGCCGTCCCCATACGACCAATCTCAATTTCGGTGCCAGCAGGATCGTTACTCTGAAAATCACTTCCTAAGCCAGTCCACGTTCGCTTGCTTCGCAGAAATTCGGCGCCAGGGCTGACGGTCCCGTTTATGACAGCCAAGTCACCTCTAGCCCTGACACTGAGAGCCGTAGATGGCAAGAACTTATTAACACTATTCGCGTCTGGCTGGTGATACCGAGGCATAGCTGACTGTAGCGGTCGAGAATGTGAGATATAACGGCCGGTACGAAGATCAAATTCTGGTGGCTCCGATTCAGGTTCTGAGTCAGAGTCTCCGACTAATGTTGCTGTATGCATATGTTCCGGAGTGTTTTTGAGTGGTAACTCAGCGTAAGCGTCACTACTGGCATGAGAGCTTTCAATTGACTCTCCAAGTCCATGAAAATCTCCCCTCCATTCCTGCTTCCAGATCCGCACTTTATCGCTTTTCAACACCCAATCTAGCTCCCACGGTGTAATTACTGGCCGATAGAAATCTTCGCCCGTCAGCAAACTGCTCTCCCAGCAGCCGATTGCCACCCATCCACCGACTTCACTAAAATTTGCCATCTTAGCAGCATTAACTTTACCTACGACAAAAGTATAGTATTTTTTTCCAGCCGATTGGATAAGAGCCTGGATAGAGTTAAGAGCCTCTAGATGATTTGCAACGGATAGAGTATTAATTAGTATGCCAAATGTGGAACAGGTATTGAGGGAATTGACGACTGCGTATCGTCGGCGAATGAGACTGTCTGTAGAAGCTTTAATTGCTAGCGATAATGGGGCAGGTGAAGTAGTGGTTGCCACTGGTATGGAATAAACAAACATTTCCTTCACTCGACAACTTAGCGTCAATAAAAGTGCTGGAGAGGGCTCAGCAATATGAAATATTGAATACTCTCCAAGCTCTAGCTCCTCGCCAATTTCTCGATTAGGTATGCGTGAAGACGGATTTCGCACCAGCTTAGGTGCAATGATATCCAAGTATCCATTTTCTTTTAGTCTTTCCGATATAGCCCCAAGGTAGGAATGGTATATGACGTCTGCCATCAGTATCACCTTAGATTCCTTGTAGAAAATTTCCTCAAAACTCTGAATGACAGTGGTTAGATCTAATGGGGGTGTGGTGAAGACGTAAATGACGGGTAGGCGTGAAGTTGGAGATAAGCATGAGCTGCCATAGTGGACTATAGCATCTGCATTGACGTGCTGGGCGGCTATTTCGTCTACACAACAAGAGCCGTACGAAGTGTCCGCTAAGATGTAGAGACGAACAGGTTCATATGACGTGTTTTTTGTGCCAGATGACAAGGGTTGAGTTGTGATATCTGTCTCTAATCCTCCGTCGCCCAGATCCTTAAATATGGGCTTGAGTGTGTTTTCAGTCTTGCTAACATTGTCAGTGGCATGTGCAACACTTTTTAGTATAACTTCGACTTCAAGACCGCCGTCTCTGAGCTCAGTGAAGAGAGGTGTTGAGGTTTCATTGCAAACCCTTATATCTGTTGAAACCTCAATCTTTCCATTGCAACTAGTATTTTTTGCATTAGGATCAGAATCAGTATTACAGCAGCTGTTGTTGCTGCTAAATGTGGCGTGATCAGAGTCAGGAGTGACCTCCACTTTCTTCATCTTTAGGTCTAGACAGGCTTCTTTGCTCTTCGAATCGGTCGTAGTCTCTCTTTTGCTTTCGAAGCTCTCGCATCTTAAGCCCGCAGAAGCAAAGCTATTCGTGTTGAATCCCTTTTCATCACCATCTTCTCCAAAGTCGTATTTCGAATCCCCAAATGCTGCATTTAACGCACTCACAACTGCCTCGGCGTCTCTCAGCATGTCATCGGGGAATTGTAACGCAACCCTTTTCCAGCCTCCTGCACGAATTTCCCGGATAGTTCGTCTGATTTCGTAAATCTGCCAAATATCCTCTTTCCGGGTTCTGTAGGCCTTGGTACTGCGTGTCTCTGACTGTTGCGAATGGCCTTCATGTCTCTGATAATCGAATTCTGGAGTCGAAAGAATAGGAGCGTTTGTGAGTGGCGTTGCTGAGGCATGAGAGGGTGCAGCAGCGAAAGAGCCATCAAGTGTTTGCCTTTCATGTTCTCGCATAATGATGGTGGAGCCTGAAGAGGACGAGGACCATTGGTAGGCAAGCAGCTACAGTAAATGGTCAGAATATGAGACTAAATGCAGCGTCTGGGGGGCCTCATGATCTTTCCGAGGGATTTAAATATCGGAGAATTTTTAAAATTTCCTCATCTCTAACCGCCAACCGCTCGCCTAAATCAGTGGCAGTTTGAAGGGCAGTCTGCGTGCTGTGGGGAATTCAGCGGGGTTCCGGAAGACTACGAGACGATAGGAAATGATCAAGGACTTGATAGCGTGTGGATGTCAGGAGCAGGCGCAGTATTCTTTTCCCCTTGTCATTCAATAATTAGAAGTCGCGTGGAATGCGCGTGCTCTAGGTGGCAAAACGGTTCACAAGGCACCGGCGTGCTTGATCTACAGTCAAAAACGCCTCAATAATTGACGGCTGCATTCGGCAGAAACTTAGCTTGGACAAATTGTCGGGGTCTTCCATCTACGGCAAGCAGGTCAAGAAACTAGCTCCGTTTCTTAGTACCTTTAATGAATAAACCCTATATATGAAATGCCCTTAACCAGAAGGGGTACCCGGTCCAGACGCAAGCTATAACCGTGATAGATTAGCAGTGATCCACAGTGAGAAAATCATGAATTGAATTTACTGTTGCTGGCTCGAGGCATTACCTTCATGACTGGATGGTGCAATGATACATCATATAGATTAGTACCTTTTGTAGAGTCAAGATAACTTGGACACATGTCCCACTACAAATAATACACCGCTGGTCACAATCCTGCTATTCTCGACCATTATCTTGCAATATTTTTGCGTAAGATAAAGACTCGTCCGTGTATTTAAAAGTATCTCAGTTTCACTTTCTTTTAACAATTATTTTGTTTGAAGGCATTAAGCCATGACAAGTGATAACTTTCATTTAAACTTGTAGAATGACCTTTTTTAATCCAGAAATACTCATGCTCTGTATTAATTTACAAGTAGTACAATGAGGTATGTACGTTTACATTGATCACTCAGCCCTCCTCAGCGAGTACCCGATAAATGAAAGTATCAGAACTTTTGGTTATCCATGCACACCAGTACCGCGAGAAATGTGGTTGTGTTTTGCCAGATTCGAACCAGCGATCTCTTATGTCAAGTAGGAAATGCGTTCAAGCTATCTAGAATCTACTTGTGAGACCGACCTGCATGACGTACCACCACACCATCCAGCCGTGGCGCTGTTTGTAGTGTCGCCAGCGCTCTCGCAGTCAAAGGTTTGGCGCGCACAATGTTAAATGTGAAAAAACCACTTTCGACTGATCAAACTGTAACACTTGCAAGATCTTATCACTGAAGATAGGATAGCTCAGAAGTTGTACTGTATTAGAATATTTAAAATTATTTTTAATGTACATGTATTGTATCCAAACTCGTTACAAACGCGTGAATCGGCACCAAAATCGCAGTAGACTGAAACAGAAATGCAAAACTCTAAAAAAAATAGAAAACTCCTCCAAGTTAGATACAAGATAACGACTTTTTACGCATTCGCTTTATCGTCACATCCCCCAAGCAACAAAATTCCAGATTCTATGCTAGGAGCACAAAATAAGCTGTTATTTTTCCTCAAAAATCGTAGGTTTCCTCTTCAAAATCTTTTGGAAGCCAATGCCGACTTCTTCCAGCTGCCTTTTACCATCATGCTTGTAGATCAGGATTTAAGGCCCCAAAGCATAGTTCTCGAGACACTTTCAAAAATTTCGAGGCAAGTAGATTCACTGTCTCTGCACTTCTTGCAGCAGCTTTTGCTCGGGCCACTGATGCGAGCTCTCCTTGACTAGCTTGTCGTGTATCTACTGGCTGCACTTATTTCACTTGGTCAATACACATAGGATGAGCCACGCCGTCTCGGCTTTCCGATCTATGGGGCTACCATAGTTTTCACACTTTATAGCGACATTGTACTCTACAGCTGAGTACATAGTTGATCCGCAGTTCCAGCATGCTGGAGCAGAGGAGTAAGAATGAGTAAGGAGGTAGCCGAAGTAGGACAGATACTACTAGACTTGGCGAAAAGGCTTGAGGTATGAGGCTTTTCCTGACTAGTCGAAAAGACAGAAAACTGAGGAAAAGGTGCATGTCTATTGCGGTATAGTGCATCCATGTGTTACGTCCCGTCAAGCCGCATCTAGATTCAGACCTCATTTGAAACTCAAAAACTATTATTGATGGCCAGTTTGGCGTCGGTTGTTATTGTGCCGAAAGTGTTTTGATCTTCGCCAGCACGTTAGCAATGCTAAAGGCGTCCAAGTTCGAGGAAAGTAAGAGTTTAGCGTTTTCACTCGCCAAACTTGAATTTGTATCTAGGAGACCTTATCATATGTTACGGTCCATTACAAGAATAACAAAGCCAATCCTAACTCGATAAATTGAGCTAATATCATACACTCGCAGTTAAGCTACTGTGTCACTGCGATTCGTATACCGGCAGGCAATATTTATTGCCATTTATGATTGCTCCGAGGCATAAGAATAGTCACTTGTTCATAATTTCCTTCGAATATACTTTCCTTAGCGCTTGCGCCGTAAGCTTTTGATGTTAGGGCTGCATTCTAGCGCAGTCCATAACGATCTGCTCGAGTTCAGATTATCTTCGCTCCCTACAGTCCCTCTGGGATAGAAAAGGTAAAACTTGAAACTGGGCTATTTATAGGATTAGCCCTGTAAGCGCAGTTGGGCTAGCTCGTAATAGGTTAGACTGTCTCTCCTCATTACGCCGCTCGCCATGAATGATGATCCAGTAGTCTTTTTCAAACAATCAGTCAGAGAACATATTTTCAACGACACTTTTGACTGCCTAACCAACAAAGCCCTTAATTCTAGAAGACGAAGTTTGAACACCTGTCAGTGGTGTCCCCTACGAACCTGGGAGTGAAATATTATCTGAGAGCCGAGATTCAGTCACGAAAAAGGGTGGGATGAGTTTTATATGATGGATTTTTGGCTTGAAGGAGTTGCACTCGATATTTTGGTCGAAAAATCAGTCGGCAGAGATTTCATAGCCGGAACAAAGTCGAACAAAAACTCATCACCACTAACATACGATTCAATAATGGATTTAGGTCTGTCTGGGAGTCGTATTCAAACATCCGACATCTCTCATGCTCCTTTTATATTTGCGACGAAGTATTTGTCAGTCAATCCTATACCTGCGACCCACTTCCATACTCGTCCAATCACCTACCTACACACGCCCTAATGAGGAAAGTCACGATGGAAACGGGACGTGTACAAAGGAGGAAGAAGAGGGAAGATACACCGAGGGGATTACACAAATCCCCAATGAAGAAAACAACCCAACGTTATGATATGAAGGTGCAAGGCTAGAGCAACGATGAGATCTTGGACGGCAATTATATCTCGGAGTCAATGAGGATGTCAAGGGCTCGGGCGCGTGGTAGCCGAGGCTGAGGAGGAAATTGCGCTACGGCGTGTATACAGCGGGTTTCTGGACGGTTAGGCTTGGTATGATCCAACACATAGGTGAAATCTGAAGTGGTCCGGTCATTTAGATGGGACGATGTTTATCTATACTTTACGGTAGTTAACCTGATCCTGCCCGGCCCTACCCGTGCTTAAGATCCAGTAGGATTGCAACGGGAATCACAATACCTAGCACGTTAACGAACAAAGAAAAAAGCCCTTGATTCTTAACATCACTATCAATTCATCTTCTATTCTAGCAAACAATGTCTCTCGAGAAGTCTGCTTCAGATCCCAAAGTTCGCAAGCAGCCAACTTGCGATCAATGTATTGAAATAATAACATTAACAAGACTTGGCTTGACATTACAAAATATAACCGACGAGCTTGTCTTCACAATAAGGCAAGTACGATGTGCGTGTGCTCGAAAGGATGAGAATCCTACACCTCGCAAAGGGCGCTCACCAAAATTAAGCGCGGAACAAGCCGATGAGCTTGAGGTTTTCGTCCGGGAATCTCCTGAAAATTGACAGATCTGCTATTTTGAGCTAGCGATGGGATCCTTCAGCCACTAGGGATGCAGCGAGCATTTAATTTCCAATGCACTCAAAAAAAGAGGTTTTAGCAGATGCATTGCTCGGAAGAAACCTCCGTTAAGCGCGGTGAACAAGCAGAAAAGATTTGAGTTCGCTCAATTACATTTAGATTGGAGCGAGGAACAATGGAGTCAATTACTAATGGACTGATGAAACCTAGGTATCGGGTGATTCTCATATGAGCCCTCGTGTCACAAGAAAGGTACATATAAATTCTATCAAAATCTTCCTTGTACTAACAGCAGAGTTTAGCTTGATGATGAGTTTGATGAGACATACATTGTGGCTCGTCATTCCCATGGGAACAGCTGGATGTTTTGGGGATCATTTTATGGATCACAGAAAGGCCTATTCCTAGTCTGAGAGAAGGATTGGGGATCAATGAGGCCTTCATCCTTTTGTGAAAGGATTTTGTCTCTTTGGATCAATTTCACTTGAAACATCCAGAAATTCTATACATGCACGACAATGCACCATGTCATAAAGCGTACTCAACAATTGAGGCGCTGCTTGAAGTTGGAATAACGCCTATCAGATGGCCACTTTACTCTCCGAATCTGAACCTGATCGAGTCATCGTGGAACATCTTAAAAAATTATATTCAGGTAAATAGTCCTGAGATAAACGGGGTCAGGCTTGTGCGCTCTGCCAGTTTAAGAATATTGCTAGGCGCCGCATGTGACTCTATTCATTCTGAGGAGTTATCGTCACTAGTCGGTAGTATGCACGAAAGATATGTAGCGGTGGAAAAGGCAGATGGAGGGCACACAAAGTATTAGGATGGAGCAGACTAATATAAAACATGTAATACGCTTTCATTTTAGTTGCGAGCCATACTGAGGGCTTCGATGTACACTTTTGTTATACAATGCAATTAAATTTCAAATATATGTGTAGTTTTAGATAATATCAATTGATTTTCTGAAATTTCTATTATAGATGAGGACTGATTTACCTTCCCTTTAGAGTTGAAAACCGTCCACATTAATTTTGACTTTCACAGAAGATCATTAGATAATATCCTTGCTTGCATAACTAGCGGATGGACTAGACATGGGCCTACATGTAGACCAAACCAATCAAATCCATATTTACAGGGACCTCGCCCCAGTCATTTTGATCAATTTACCTTTTCTATCTATAAGAGACTGTAGATGATGACTCCTGTTTTCGGGTACCCTCAGGGGAGGATTCGCTGGACGAGGACGAATGACAAAATGACAGTGCCCGTAAATATGTTTGCGCAATAGTGGCACATAGATAGACCCTCATGAAGTCTACAAATTATTCATTTGATTCTTCGGCCATAACGTGCCAAGGCCACTCCTATCAGCCGAAATCAAGTCAAAACCCCCAATTTTCACCCCATTTGTCACTGACGTACGCCTTGGACGGGATGTGTCACCCCGCATTCGTATCCGAATCTTGAGTAAAGGTTTATCCTTTTTTCACGGTGGCGGATAGTCATTGTATTTATTTAATATATAACGTCGTGCCCGCGCACAGCATGTGAATTCCTCACGTACCGGTTAGCCCAGTCTAAATAAAACTACCCGACGTGTTGGCGCCTACGGTGGAGGATAGTCGAATAGTCCCTGAATATTCAGATGCTTTAGCACGCGTCAAAGCGTCGGGTAATTTGATGGAGGCAGGCCCGCTTACACGTGACAATACTACGAATTATGCACGGGCACGAGCACACATTGATAAACTCAAATCAAGTCTGGACTTCAATAGGGACTCCACACGATAAGCAGCAAAAGTTCCATGTCATTAGATACAAGAAAACATTGATTGAATAATGCTGGTGTTCTACATGCCAAATGCTAGCATCTCGTAAACAAACATCTCAATATCATATTGCAGATGGGTAAAAGAATTCCACTGCAAGAAAACTGTAGGATTGCAGAAAATAGCGTTCTTCATACGTGACTACCTACTACTTGAATTATTGACGGCTTGTGGATCATTACCTCCGTCCCCGCCAACACACCTAAGCAACAGAATTGGTTAAGTTTTCAACAGCACTTAAGTCTACTTATTGACAAGCAAGACTAATTTTGAGCGGGTTAGGAAAATGGGGGCCGTGTAGCAGTAATCCTCACATCCTTAAGTCCCGAGACCGTAAAAAAACATATCAAGGTAAACTATTGAATGACCAAAGTGACTTGATTAGCCATACTACCTGCAGCTTGTATGCCTAATTAGTAGAGCAAAATATTACTAAATTAGTTTGGAAGCTAGCCTTGCTCGGTTGGAACGTACGCAAACTGTGGATATTCATATAGCTGACATGGATTATTCTTTGCTTCTGCCATCTACATTATTAGCAAACCTCAGCTGGAAAGATATAACTGCGTAACATGAAACGCATCATGAACCTACGGATACTACGAAGTAATATGTAAAAATGGAGAAAAAACGGAAACTTCCTGCCCGCGCTGCACGCGTGGAATCAAACAGCAAGAAAAGAACTACCACACCTCCCGGATCTCAAACTCATACAACAGTAACATCATTACCAGTCAATGTACCACCTGAGAGGACACCCTTACCAACATCAATAGCTCCAGGAAAACCGTTACCTACTGTTACGCAACCTCAGTCAATTAGTTTATCCGTAAAAGAGTATCAGTCGATTCCAGAAAGGTAAGTGAAGACAGCTCTTTAGCTGTCACTCGAGTGAATCTAACTTGAACAGTGGTATCTTATCAGAGTCATTAGCCCGATCACGACAGAGATGGACTACAGAAGGAATATTTGAAAAATACTGGACCAAGGTCAAGAAAGGAAAAAATACGTCTGTGGAACCACATGGTAACCCTTCAAAAGACTCTATGGTAAAGTTAGGAACTTGCACTATTACAGTGGAGCCTCATGTTTTTGAAGCAACAATATTCACAGTCAAGGAAACTAACTTGCGACCAAAAGCTCCGATGCAAGCGTCTATATCTCTTCCCACTCTCCAATATGGTCCACCTGGTGGAAGCATGCCTCCTACGCAACCAGATGAAATAACCTATTCCCAAACATCAGCTGGTAATCCTCCTGTACCTCATTGCGATGAAGGGGAACAAAAGCATAAAAATGCCGTTGATGGGAGACCTACCACTATATTTTCCCCAAATGAGGAGCCAATAGAAAAGATGTCACCAAAACTTTCAGCTCCAAATAAGACTAGTGCACCTTCTAAAAATCAATCCTCTAATCAATCAACTGAACCAGTTACTGCTCCGAAGGGTACTGATCCAGTGATTCAAATGTTAGCCCAAAAAGCTGCAACAGATCAAGATTTAAAAGATCTGATGCGAACAGTGGCCAACGGACAGGCTACTCCCGAACAACTAAAACAGTTCCAAAATCAGATAGATGATTTGGCCCGTCTTCATCAAATTCAGCAGATGCCAGCAGACCAACCCAATCCGTCATCAGACAAAAATAAATCAGCTGTTTCAGGGCAAGACTGTAGTATTCCACCGCTAAATTCGCTAGGTTCTAATTCAGTGGCACCTGTAGCGCCTCCAACTGTCCAGGACCAGCCAAATTCACAGGTACTTAGGTGTAAAGGACCTACATCGTCAAAAAAGCCTGAATGTACTGGTGTTGTGTTTGAATTTGTCGGTGGAAACGGTGACAGATACTCATTCCCGAAATACAGTATTCTAGAACAAATCTCCGGGACAAATCAAGTAATTGTGTCATTTTTGATTATTAGAAAAGGTAGCAACGCCGATTCCCACAACTATAATCCCAGCTTAGATTATTATCAACCCATGACAATTAGAATACATACACATCAAAGCCGGCAACTCGAAGCCTTGCAAAAAGCTGTAGAGTCTCCGGAAGAAGTTCGAAGATGGATGGATAAAGTTATGGACGAATGCCAAAGAGCAGAATACGTACTACTAGCTATGCGTTTACCGCGCGAAGCTGAAAGTAGCGCCTCAATAGAGGGAAAAAGCGGCTCTGAGAAAACTGATCAGATAAATATGCAGGTCAAGTGGGTTACAACAGCAAGCACGTCAACAATGACCAAGTCTAGAGTTACGAAGAAAATGACTACCGAAGAGGAGCGCCTCCAAAACTGCATTTCATCTATAGCTGCTGCAACATGAAAACTGAGGGCTTGGGAAAATTACAGACCGAGATGATATGAAAGAATTGGAGTAAAGGCGTAAATGATAAAGGGATAAATTGGCCCGAAACTTGTAAATGAGATTCAGAGAGTATTTCTTTAGACTTTCTTGGAAAAATTATTTAGTAGAAGTTACACTCTTATTTGTATACATAACTTTATAAAAGCAAATTCTCCCAAGTCCTACAAGCTTACACCAAATTAATTTATAAGATAGTATTCAGGCCTCCGCGTACGTATTTAAAAGAACTGAGGCCAGTCATTGGCCAGAAGGTTGCAACGGCTCCTACATGTAAGGAATGAATGTATGCTGTGATTTAAGGGCAAAAATCAAGACTCCAAGTGTATGAACAAATTAGGACTCGTGAGGAGCGGTACTATTTGAGGGGAGCTGTATGGGAGGTATCGAGAGGATATACTACTAGTGGAGGTATACTTGGCTTTTTGGCAGAGAGGACCTGGATGTGATAAATATTCAAAGACCGAGGAAGGAAAATAGTTGTATCAAGGGCGACAATACAATCCAGGAAGCTAAGATTAGTGGGATTTTTATTTTTTTGCATCAGATTTGAATTGCGTATGCTGCTATTTAGCTATGATAGAATAATGACGAAAATTACAGAATAGATGACTCAATATAAAGAAAGAGCACTCATGTCTCGGATTTCACTTACAAGTACCACTGCCAAGTTATGGCGGCTTTTTCTTAACCCCAAGTCAACCCTCATCAGTGAATACCCACACAGGGGAACGTCTCAAAAACCCTAAGTTATCTAGAAATGCCTCCATCATCCATTGACTTTTATCCGCGCGAAATGTGGCCTATGACTTCTCCTTTCGAAGTGGAATAGGTGTTAGTGGCATTGTATCTGATTAGAGAGTGGTGAAATAATTGCTGCCCTTGTATTTCACTCATTGCTAATCTAATTTCTCCTGGCAGCCGTAATCGAGTTGTTCGCTCCCTTTCAAAAATTATGTGCGTGGTTTGTGTTAGGCTTTACAGTCTTTCTGGCAGTATGAGCTTTGCCGTCTTTTTGGCCATGACCTTGAAGTCTGCGACGGTTGGAATATCACACAAATACCAAATCAAAATCGTCACTTTTTGCCCAGAATTGAATGCAGTCGAAAAATGATTTGCGAACTCCTTGATACAATGGGGTTGAGGGGCAATGTTCATACCACGAGATTGACTTCACCCTGAATTTTAAGCAATCTTATCCAGCTGGAGGAGCCAAAGTAACTTACCGCCCGGTAACTAGCAAGAAAGCGGGTGACTATTATTAGCACCTGTCAGTGGTATCCCCTACGAACCTCCAGCTCTCACTGTAGAGTCTTCAGATTCTGTAGAGTCGAGATTGAGTAACAAAGTCCTCACTTCGACGAGACTTCCCAATCGCTTTCGCGGTCTGTATCGTCTTCATCTCTCAATACATCCCCCCATCACCACTATCATGAAGCTAACCACGATCAGATCAGATGGTAGGGTCAAAGCCCTTCTCGTCACCAACCCTTGATCATGGAGGAGAAGCCATCCGATGAGTTTCCGGAGCGTGCCCAGCACCCGAAATGGCGATGATGGATTGAATCAAGTCTGCCTCGAATGTTATAAAGAAGGGAGATGTGGATTAATATGCGCACCTCATGTGGTCCCGGTGTCTAGGCCTCGCCTGACTGGGGCTGCAGGTTTTTTGAGACCTTTTCCCGCGCACGCAGTTTCCATTGCTACCATCTTTATTTTTTTTTGAGTAGAAGGTTCCGTGGAAGAGGTGGCTGAATTCTACGGACAAACACTGAGCTGAATGGCTGTTCATCACGGGCAGTATATCAATGATCTTTCAAGAAACATGGGAGGCAAGAAGCACTGTACAAGGTGTGGCCTGGGTCAGAGAAGAGCCCAGTGTGCTAGATATTCTTTGACTCAAGTAGTACAATAAACAAATACACACACACTAGCAAGAAAGCCCTTGATTAAGTGCACTGTGAGGTCTAAAGCACAATGTTTGTTCGCGATGCCGTCAATGAACTTTGAGCTCTCATCGGAGATTGCGCGGACCGTACATTAAGTCTTATCCTAGCCAGTGAGGCATCCATTGTCGTTAATTCCACGGCAGACGGCGCAAAAAGATGGAGCTAGGCCACTGAATAGCTCACATACTCTGATAATACATTTCTGACCGCCAAATCGAGCAAGGGAAGTTCGCAAAGGTGGCACGAGCTCGGGCTGCAGCCAAAAGGGTTGAAGAGGCGGTTATCGCCTCGGCGAAGGATGTCTCGATGGCCGAGGGATCAGGTTTCAGAGTGCTGGAATCTGGAGAAGAAGCGTGAGGGCACAGCAACCTCGACGATACCTCTCACAGGCATGTACTAACCAATAGCAGGATACCGGCTGGATAAAAGGTGCCTGCTTACCTTTCTTTTGCTCTCAGCGGAGATTGGGCAAATTTTTCATTTGGAAGGAGTGACGGATGAGGGAATGTATGAGGAGCGCATTGCTTGGGTCCAATATGGAGGGACCTTCTGTCTTTCGGAGTTATTTTGATTTTCATGGCTTTTCGTTTCTGTTTAATCAGCTGCATTTTTGGCAGCGATTCACGAGGTTGGAACGAGTTAGGCTGTAGGGAAAGTTACATGAAACCCTGCCGGCTCCACCGGTCCTTAACCCATTGTGGATGAAAAGCTTTAGCTTAGGACCTATTCGTAATAGTAAAAAATACATTTCTGGCATTTCAAAGTGAGGCCTAACTTGTCCTGAGGCACGAGTTGCGAATGGAGGCTATGGCGGAGGTGGCGTGGTCGGGAATATTCCCGAATAATCTCAAGTGTGTGAGTATACTAGACATTAGAAATTTTCTGCCACAAACTGCTTACATTTTCTACACAGCAGAAAGTTTATGCACTCGTAAGAAAGTGGCCTTCTGTACAGTTGCGGGTGTTTCGATACATTTCTTACTCTAACTGAACATGGAAGAAGGGAAATCCTAGGGCCAATAGATGACTCGTATAGATTAGATTAGACTTATATTATAGTCCAATCTGAGGTTGTGACCGTGGAGGACTGCTAGAGTCTACTTGCGACAGGTTGGTTATGCCTAGCATATTTTGCCATGTTTGTTCGATAACTTATCCTTCTAAAAAGGTAGAGAATGATGTCTCATATAGTGTATTGAGAAATGCACGATCATACTTATTATTGATGATATGAGTCAGTCGTATCTCAAGGCATGTGTGCACATTGTCTAACATGAACAGTTTATTGTAATTCAGAGATGTTACTTCCTGAACCACATCAGTAGGTTCCAATATACGAAGAACAAAAGAGACCGAAGGGAGGCTAGGAAGGCAGAGAGTGGTGTCCTTAGCTACACACAAATCTGCAGCGCCTGGCTGGCCTAAGTCTCGTAACGCCATGGGAAAGGTAACTATCACGTCGGATTTAATTCTGATGTCGCTAGACGATAAGTCCGGTGATCGACTTTTGTTTCGTTAGCTGGAAAAGTGAAATAAGAGGGGCAAAAGTCTCTCGAGTGTATGATCGAAGGATAACTTTTGAGGAGTGACTGTTTGAAGGCACTCGTAAAGGGTTAATTTTGAGAAGGATACGCGAAAATGGTGACTAAAATCTACGGGCAGATACCGAGCTAGTCTAAGGCTTCACTCACAAAGTCCACTGGCATCAAATTTTAACATCTCTATTGAATATTTAAATAATAAATTAAGGAACTGGTTAGTCAGATGCTTGATTATTCATTAATAGTGTAGTTTGATGGATGGGGTTTATTCGTGACGGGCGCAAGCCTGGTACTCGTATCAGGGCATGACCCCCAGTATCCAATAGAATATATTAACTGTAAAGATTTTTAAATTTAGCAATGAGCCTTATAGCTATCTAGATAGTTTTAACTGTTTGTAAAACACGAAGTAATACAATTTGGGTGGCGTCACGAAGTCGGAGAATAAAGTAAGCTAACAGGTATCTCGAAATACAGCTTATGTTGTATTTTTCCTCCCTCTTCCTCTACTCCAGGCGCCTCGCTAGTGAGCTAAGTCAGATCCCTGTCGGAGTCCTAACGACATCATGAACACTGCAATTACATGGAACAATTCATACCGCCCAAATATGATTCTTTTAGCGACATTATCAGTCCTTCGCAGTCATAAAACCATACAATCATCAGGGACTTCAATTCTATTCTGCTCCAGCACTCATAGATCATGGCACGGGTAGGCTAGTCCTTCCCCGGCAGCTATATATGACGATTGTTGAAATTGGTGCTAGTAGGCAATGAAGAATAGAACTTATTTTAAGTCCCTACTGAGTCTGTGACTATGAAGGACTACTAAAACTATATGAATCGGCAATGAAGAGTCACATAAGAAAAACATCATTTTTGCTAGAAAATTGCGTAGACTTCCACGCTACCCGTATCATCAATTTGACATCGTGATTATAATTTTTTCATCTTCATTACCATCCTCTCATCTATTCGCTTTCCGTTCTCCAACATGGCGAGTGTGGGTGCTTGTGTGGGTAAATCCCGCGGTTTTGACGCGTCGCAAAATGCGACAACGGCAGCGGAGCGCAGACAGCTTCAAAGGATGGAAACCTTGAAATACTGGGAAACTCTTAAAACAGGATAGACTTAACGTGATGGGAGAGATGGATGAGGAGGACTTACCCTCAATGGAGGATGTGAACGAGGCTGTGAAGGCCTTCAACGCACACAAAAGGGCCTGGACGGAAATGACCATGAAGAAGTCTCCAATCGAGGAGAAGATGATGGCGCTAGAGGATGTCGTCAAAAAGAGCCTCGCGAATCCCGCTCGAAAAGCTGCTCCAGCAGTGGTTTCGGGCGCGCCACCACCTAGGAGTTACGCGTCGGTCGTGGCTCCGCAAATGACGAAGACGGCGGTACGAATAAGAATCAACGGCGCTCAAACTCTGCAGCCACAAGAGCTGCTATCTAAGTCACAACAACACAT